GCGCGTGTGTGCGTGTGCGATTTCCCATTATTCACAAGCTGGGTACCGAGATGAGAAACGCCTGAACTATTTATTTAGAACATGACCACTCTTGGCTATTGAAGGCATGGACAGTAACTGAGAACCTGCCATACATAATATATGACTTCCTAGGGGTCTGAAGTCCATAAACTAAGAGCAGACTGTGTATAGCTTACCCTGAACAGGAATCCTTACTGATATTTATTGAACCATTGATTCCCCACCCCAAACCCCCAGTTTATGGATATGCTGCTTAAAACACGGAGAGTGGGGGGAGGAAGTTTCAGTCGATCCTTCTAAACTGAGGAGCTGAGCTAGGTGCACACGGGGTGTTTCTGTTCCAGGAGGAACATCGCTTTGTCCTGTGTTTTTGCTTTGTTTTCTCCCAACTGAACAAGTGCCATCGAGCTGATGGAGACTCCTGGCGACCCTGTCAGGACAGAGTTGGAACTGTCCCGGTGGGTTTCCGAGGCGCTGAGTCTACGGGAGCAGAAAGCCTCATCTTTCTCCCGTGGAGTGGCTAGTGGGTTCGAACTGCCAGCCTGGCGGTGGGCAGCCCGTCACGCGACCCACTCACTATACCGAGTGAAGCTAGACTTGAGAAATGGTGCCCTACCGTTTCACACACAGACATCGGTGCATATTAATTTTCTGTGCTGCTCTATTTTTGTCTTGAAGGTCTGAGGGCTGACTGTGTGCCATTCGGGGATGAAGTTGCATTTGATGGGATAGCCCAACACTGACCGGGGGTGGTGTGCGTGACTGACTCACTGTGGGTGCCCTCGTCTCACTGTGGGACTGGGGCGCCCTCTCCAAGCTCCAGGGCCCAACACCGTCATCAGTGTGTGGTTCGCATTGCGTTTTTCGTGAAACACCGGTTCCTTTTCTCGTTGTTATTTTGGGTAATTCATCTTCGAACCACCGCCATTCAGGAAACCAGCCCCCTCTCCTGCAAGGAATCCAGCAGTTGAGAAGACCTAGCAGCA